AGAATGGACCTGGCGGAGGTGGATACTGTTAGTAGGCCTCATAAGTCTGCATAGCTGTCAAACCAAGACCCAGCAGGGCACCGAAGAAGACCAATATGCTCCAGGGGCTCCTGAAATAGATGTGATAGAGTTGAGCCATGGAGGTGGCAAAATTGTTGTTGCAGTGTGCTTGGATTTGATGTTTCAAATCGGAGTGCTGCAGCCAAAAATCCGACACCAGGTTTTTGCTGATCTTGTTGAACAGCAACGCTACGGCTTTGTCACTTCCTAGTCCGTTGTACAGCACATTGGCGTCTCTCATTAGCTTCACATCCTCCCTTTGATCAATCAAGGAGTCAAGGAAGGACACATAGGAGCTGATCTTAAAGCTGTTTTTGAAATCTGGACACATCTCGTACGCTATCAAGTTCATCAACTTGGGCCAAGTGAAGTTGTCCACGGTGATGGGAGGCAGCTTTAGGGTTGCCCAGAAGAAATATTCTTGGAAAGAAATGTTCTCGATACTGGAAATGTCCTCGACACTGGAAATGCCCTCGATACTGCTTGAATTGCTAACTTTAAGCCAAATCCCCTTTTCATTCAGCTCTTTTACGCTTCGAAATGTGGGCCTCCAATTTCTTTTCTTATCACCAGAATTGCTGTTAGAAGAAATGCCCTTGCTCGTGGTTCCATCTGATCCCTTTTCACTGCAAGGGCACAACTTTTTCAGGAGCTTACTTATGGTTCCATCTGATTCCTTATCTTTCTCTGATTTGGTCATTCTTCTCCACAATAGTTCCAGAAGATGAGCAGGTTCATCTTGTTGAGTATCAATCCTTATTTCTGTTGTTGTTGTTGTTGCTGCTGCTGCTGTTTGCTGTTCTTGCTGCTGCTGCTGCTGTTGTTTTGAATTTTTTATAGGCTGCTCCTGCCCAAATAGACTCATGGCATTCTTATTGATGAAGGCGGTGATGGACGCCTTCAATATCTCGGCAGCAGATTTATTTTTATATTTTTCATCCTGGGGATTACAAAGAGGAGGAACTCGAGTGCAAAGGTTCATCAATATCTGAAGCAGTTGGTACGGTAGTTGGTTCTCAAGCAAGAACAAATCCATCTTCACATATGCGAGCAGATCATCCTTAGCTCCAAGTTTGTCCAGATTGTCAGTGGCCTCATGGAGTATGAAGAACAACACTGCGCAACCATCCATAAGGAACAACCAGGCCAAGCACTCATCACACCATGTCTTTATCTCCTTGCTGTCATAGCACTCCCTCAAGCTATTAATGTTCTCCTTGATTTTTGTGTAGAAGTCTTCCTTCTCCTTCCCACTATACTTGATGAACTTTGCCGCCATTTGTAGCTTGCTCTTCTCACCTCTTTGGAGTTTTGAATCAGGACTATGGTCATGGTGGAGGGGACCGAATGCAACAGAAATTGGTTTGAAGTACCGTTGGAAATCCTCATTGTCTCGTAGTAGTATGTGCGTAACCCTTTGTATCAGTGGCTTGGTTGTGGTCGCGGTTGGAAAGCAGTCTCCATCCTCAAAGGATTTCAATCTGTTCTCCGTTTGGGTGAGTTGTTCCATGTTGGGCGGGCGAGTCTGCTCTTTTTGCGAAACAATTTGCAATTTATGTTGTTCTGAGTGAGCATGTAGAAGGAAAAGCTTATGCTTATGTACATGTTAAAATTGGACAAGGATGACAGGCACAAATTGAAAAATAGTCCAAATTTTTAACCAAGATTGAATGTACTGGTAAGTAATTTTTGTCTTATAAATTAGTTCTTTAAATGTACCTAACAGATATGGGGAGTGACTGTAAATACCAAAAAAAATATTAAAATTAGAAATTAATTTACTACCTTGCAATGAAAGCAAGTTTGGTATTGAGGTATTGGATATCGTTTTTTTTCCTTTGTATATTGAAAGATTAGTTGATTAATATACCAGAGATTTAAATATTTAACTTTAATCTCAAATTAAAATTTTAAATAATAAGTACCAATTTAATTAAATTTTTATTAATTG